ACCTGGCCATGCCAGGCCAAGATAAGTGGAGTGGTTGTTGTTTTGTTTGACTTTGTAGCTCTTTTTATATGAGACCAGAAATCTCTGGGATCTGTTTTTGAGTTTATTTGTGTACAGAATGTGTCTTATTTTTGTGATTTTAGTAACTTAATGCCGTTTCCAATTTTGTTCTGAGCGTATTTATTTGCGTTTTTGTTTGTGGGTCACCGGTTGTTATACACTCTCTTCTTAATCTTCTTCGTTTTTTTATTTTGTTAGTTATGTCAGTTGTTTTGGATATTGCTGAGTAATACTTTTGGTGTGCATTTTTTTGCTGTTTTTATGAAGGTATCTGAGATTACTGAACGGAATCTTTCTATATCCAGGCTGCTATTGGCTATTGTGATCGGTTCATGTTGGAGAAGCTCTATGAATTTCTCCTCATATTTCTTCCAATTTGCTTTTCTTGTAGTTACATTTTTCTGTGTTTTGGTTGATTTTGGTGTGGTGAGGGATCGAAGACACTTCATATCAGTAAATGGTCACTGTCTGAATCTTTTACTACGTTGAATATTAGAAAGTTTTTTATTAATGTTGGTGAACACATACACAGGTCTGGTATATCACTGGAGTAATATGTGTCACTGGTATGTGTTGGTGTTGTATCGTTTAGTAGGTAGGTATCTGAATCATCCAAAAATTATAATAGATGTCTTACATTTGCATTTATGGTTCTGCAATCGAATATTGTGTTTTTGCTATTGAGGTCGCCTATAATAACATATTTGTTATTGTAGTAGATGATGTTGTTAAGTAGTGTAGTGTCTGGTTTGTTTTGTAGTGAATAGTATAAACCTGCTGTTGAGACTATTTGGTTATTGCTAAGACGTACCATCTATTATAATATTTTCATTTTTGACGGTAAGTTTATTGAAAATTGTTTTGTTTTTGTTTTTATTGTATAGGAGTAGTATGCCCCCTTCTGGGGATTCCTTGTTTGGTCTATTTATTCTTTCTATTTGGTATCCGGTCATTTTGATTGAATGACTGTTGTAGAGTGTTGTTTCGGTGATAAATATGATATTTGACGATGTATTCGATCTCATACCGCTTGGAAACAAGGCTGCCTTGGATATTTATGTGTAATGCAGTAAGAGTATTCACTGTGGTATGATGTTAGCTAGAATTTTGTGTATTACATGTGGTATTAGATGTTGTAGATATTTTTTGATAACATTGATAACCAGTGTTATAATACCCGTGTTGTTATTTGGTTTACTATATTCTTGAAGGAAGTCGGTGATTATGTTTGTAATTGCTGTTACTGATTCTCTGTTACCTTCATTGTTAGTGTTTTTACTTTGTCTGCTGGGCTTGTTTATGGTTGTGTTTGTTCGTTTCATATTTCTTGCTGTGTTACCACCGAGTATGTTCTTCTTTGTGTTGCGTTTGCGTTGGATTTCTGTGTTGGTGGTGCTGATAGTAGTGGAGTCTTTTGTTGGGTAGTGTGATTTGTTTTTAGTTTTTGTTCTGTTGTTGTCATGTTTGTAGTGTTTATATTGTTCCTTTGTTTTATGTCTTTATATTTCTGGCATCCTTTATAATTGGTAGCATGTTCCTCGTTACAATTGCAGCATTTAGCTTTTTTGTGAGTCCGGGGGCATTCAGATGATCCATGGTTTTTGCCGCTTCCAACACATCATGTGATAGATTTGCAGGCAGCTACCACATGCCCATATCTTTGACAGTTAAAACACTGCTTTACTACAACTGCTGGTGTTTTAGCTTCTTTCACTGTATATTTTTGAAACCACGTTATTAATTCGTTTTGGATGTGTTTTTGTAAATTTTCTGTGCTTCCTGTAGTTACTTTGATTATATTTATGGGTGTGTTGGTTTTTGCAGAGATTATTCTTCATATTTTTGTGTGTTTTATTTTCAAGTCTGTTATTTCCTCTTTGATTGTTTGAGATCTATTGACGGGTGAATATCTCATATGAAAAAGGTCTTTTGTTTGAACTACAGAGTCTTCACCTTCATCGGGATTCGGTCCATGGATTTGACAAGGAAAGGGTATGGTTCGGCGTTGACCTCTTCCTCCCTGTCAGGAATTGTTATTTTGTTTGCACTCTTACCGAATCCTAGGTAATAACCCTTTTTACGTTGTTGTTGCATTACTCGCAGTATGTTACATTTTGTCCATTGTCCGCAGTTTTAATTAACACACTTTCAAGAATAAATGTAATAATTCAAATTCTTGCGCCTCCCATGTGCTGGATTAAAACCCGGGCCGATTCACATACACGAGAATACTGTTGCGTCAGCGAGGTCACGTGACTAGTATCACGCCAGCTCTTTCTAGAAATATCCTGTTCCTTCATGAATGCCCTAGCGTTTACTAAATATGTGTTAGTCTTGTATATATAAGACGGTCACAACGTGACGGGCCAATGAGTAATTGAACTGCAGTCAGAGAGTGTGTAATTGAACTGAATATTGTTGAAGTTGAGCACGTGAGACGTTCGTTGAGAATTATAGCGTTTGTTATAGCGCGACTGTTG